AGTAGCAGAAAATCCAGCTTGAAACAGATATTTGAAAAAACACGATTAAAGATTTCACGACACACACAATACGAGTAGTAATAATGAAAAAACAACAGAAATGTTGAGGTACAACAGTTTATGAATTAATGAAAGAAATGTTACTTTAAAGTTACAACGATTTTAGAAAATGGATATTTCTTTCTTGAAAACTTCATTAAATTGAAGAATTCGGTAAGACAAAGAGAGTAGGAAACAATGTATCGTAAAAGTTAAAACATTGAATATTTAAATAGTTTTCTATTGAAGGATAAAGATAGAAAGCACAAACAAGTTGAAAGATTATCAGAAATCGATAAACTGTGATTCAATATTATATTTGTTAGAGAAGACAAAAATCGAGATAGTCAGTTATTTGCTGGTTTATTTCCAATAGATACTTATCAGTTTTAGCTGTTTACCTACTTCTTATTTCTACCGAGATCCTTCAGTCGTGAAATAACAAAAAATTCGTTCATTTAAATCTTTATGGAAATCAGTTGCCGACTGTTAATCACGCGAACAATCACACCCAACTGTTATGAGTCTCTACTATATTTATATATATATATCTTCGATTCTCATTTTCTTGGTAACGCTGTTAGATATATTGATAATTTATAACATATTATTAATACTTATTCATATTTAAAAAACTTGTGTTAAAACCAGTACAACATAATTTAACTACCCTATATGTGAAGACAACCATACGTTTCTTATAGCACCCATACACGTAACAGTATTGCTCTATTCATAAATATTTCCCGCTGGGTCAGCGATAAGTTTAGGAGTTTACAATTCTAAGGTCCAAGGTTTGATTCTCCGCATTATACAGAGCGCAGAAAACTCAATTTGTGGTTCTGCGTGAAACCAAACAAGGAAAACCTTCATATATACATTCAGTTGTACCGTATAACATTTTGATTTTTGTTAAGTGCTGAGTTTAACCCTAATTTTCTAGTGAAGCCACGGTACTAAGTAACAAAGTAACCAGCAGGAGGAGTTGTTAGAGACGTTGTAACAATTACTAGACATGGACAAATGCGACTTGCAAGCAAATGTCTTTCTGTAAAGTGCGAAGATAATTAAGGTCAACTAAAGATTTGATTACTAGAACAACAACAAATAGAACCAACACTAATCTAACTATATTCAACGAACGTTTGTTGTGAGCTTTCAATTACGGCTACTCTTATCACTGGGCAATCGTTTGTTTTGTATACCTACGATGAACTGATGAAAATATTTCAAATTAAGAAAATTCATATCTTCTTTCTCACATTTTTCCTGTTGGATAACGAAAAAGTGTCTAAGAATTAGAGATATATCTAAGTTTGACCAAACTTTATTTTATTCTGATAACCTTAGGTGACAGAAAATTGTATAACACGACAATACGTTACAACCTAATGACATTATCGAGTCAGCTATAAAGGTCTTGTACGTGACGTCACAAAACTTCCTATTGCATTCAACATCGTTATATTGGACTTGAAACATTATCTTCCAGCAGTCGACAGCAATCCATATCAATATAAGATACGGTAAATGGCAGGAACACTACTTTTGGCAAAAGATCCAAAACTCTACGCCCATTCAGTTTCTCGATATATTTTTCTTTATGCATCTCATTGAAATGATTAAAGCGTCAGATAACACAACACTAGAAGACAAAATGTGACATTTTTCACCTAAGACTAATGTGAGAACTTGAAGCCCAAAATGGAGGAGTAAACTATGGACCACGTGACTTTTTAACACCAATCTAATACCTCTCTACCTAAACCTACATTACAGGATTGATTTCTGATTTTTCATTTTCGTCATGTAACAACAGTGATTTCACCATATCAAGTTTGGTATTAAAGATGAACAGAAAAATAGTAAAAACAGTGAAAATCACTTCACACTCGATGTCTGAGAAGTGTTCAGGCTCAATGAATTCGCAACCTGAGAAAATTCGACATAAGAAAGCTCCAAAGTCTTAAGGATTATGTGACGTTTTAAAACGTTTCCACCAGCAGGGTTTACTTAATCAAACAAAACATTTGAATGTCCAAAATATTTTTAATTCTCCAAATTCGCTGATATATCCTTTTAACCTTAGTTGCTATTGTTTAACCAGTACTGTAAGTGTTGTGTATAAATTAACAATTTAAGAATAGATTAGCTCATTTATCAGTCAATATGGACTAAATGACATATTTCCGAACGATATTTGATATCAATTTCTTATTTACGCACCCCCTATAGTATTCACACTATTAGCACGAATTTCAGGTTTCTTTTAATAGAGTGTTAAGGTACACTCTTTCCAAGAACTACTTTGTAATAAAAACCACACAATGGAAGACAGACAGAGAGATGGATGAATGGACAGATGTAGAAATACATGAATAGATCGATAGATAGAATATTTTTATTATTATTGTTAATAACTGATGTGTGTGTGAGTTCATCGACCATATACAAGTTTTTTCAGAATTTAACATATTAGTTTCCTTGTCTTCTTTAAGTTTAAACATGAGAAAGTGTTACAGGCTTTAGCGACACTTAAGTTTATAAACTCTCTTTTTTTGTCCACCAAAAGTGCTAAGACTTAAATATGCGAAAGGAAAGTAACAAGAGTATAAGGAACGTAAATATACATGCTTTGTCTGTCGAAGGTTAGTTAGTTAAATGTTATATAAAATGAAAGTAACAAGAGTATAAGGAACGTAAATATATATGCTTTGTCTGTCGAAGGTTAGTTAGTTAAATGTTATATAAAATGAAAGTAATAAGAGTGTAACGAACGTAAATATACATGCTTTGTCTGTCAAGGGTTAGTTAGTTAAATGTTATATAAAATGAAAGTAATAAGAGTGTAACGAACGTAAATATATATGCTTTGTCTGTCAAGGGTTAGTTAGTTAAATGTTATATAAAATGAAAGTAATAACAGTGTAACGAACGTAAATATATATGCTTTGTCTGTCAAGGGTTAGTTAGTTAAATGTTATATAAAATGAAAGTAATAAGAGTGTAACGAACGTAAATATATATGCTTTGTCTGTCAAGGGTTAGTTAGTTAAATGTTATATAAAATGAAAGTAATAACAGTGTAACGAACGTAAATCCATGCTTTGTCCATTGACAGTTAGGGTTCAATATTAAGTAGAAACAAAGTAATAAGAATGTAATGAACACAATTCATGCTTTGTCTCGAAAGTTAGAGTTGAATATAGACGAATCATAAGTGCATATTCAGTTCGAATAACATCAAGCTAGAAAGCATGACTATTTGAATCGTGTTATTTTTCATTCTTTATTCTTTTTGCACATTATTTGTTGGGCAGAATCTTTCATCTAAAACTCTCAAACAGTTTCCTGTAAGTATTAATAGAGTTTAAAATGGAGAGTTTTTGGATTTAATCAACAAATAAGTTGCTGTAGCTGCAAAACTAATAGTAAACAGGTTACTTTGACAGTACGACAAAGGGCTGGTTCAATAGTACGACAGAGATTTGCCAGATTCTTTCCATAAAAGCTTTAAAATGTTGATTTATAGTGATTAGGATTTATCTAGATTAGGATGATCTGATATAGCGTTGAATAAGAGCAGTAGTGAAAGATAACAAAAAGTGCTACCCGCCTTGTTTTCAGCGTTCTTCTTTTTCTCTGACTTATCTTTTTAACCAGATACTATTTTAAGTATAGGTTTCATTTTTTTATGTAATAATGACTGCAAATGAGGCTTAATATTTATATTACAAATTATTTTAAAACTCTGTTAAAAACACAAATATTAGGCACGACATATTTTTAGTTAATATACAACGTGAAAAATTACACAAACAACATTATAATAGAATATATATTTACAAGGCAAGGGGCTTCAATATATGTTTACAAGGCAAGGTGCTTCAAAGTTCAGTAATGAATTTCTCTCCTTTTCTTTTTTCTTTCTTACAAAGAACAGCAAACATTTTTAGTGGAAGAATAAAAAAAAACACATAAAACTGAGATGCATCTAAATATTTTCCAAACGTCGAAAGACAGAATTAGAATGATTTTCGAGAGGTGTATAATCAGGTCAATAATCCAATGTATCTCTTCTATACTCAGACATAGTAAAAGACATGATCGTTGTAACGCTATACCAACATAGAGGACTGCCACTGAAGTAAACGACAAGAAATAGTATCAGTTACTGGAAGTAAAAGAAACGTGTTGAAAGAAACCTTTCTACCTTCTGGCACTTTATATTGGCGCGGAAGTCAATTAAAGACAACTGTTAGTGGGTAGTTTGTTAACCCTTACACAGTTTTTGACAGCTGGTTGTCAACGAAAAACACACTAAATAACACGTTATTATTTCATACAACACACACATACAATAAAGACTGTACAGAACTGATCTGTTTGTTGTTTGATTATTGAAGTACTGTGTAATAGCTTTCCGAATCGTTTAATACATAAGAGATGAGTAATTTCACATAATCCTTTTCTCTTTGAATCTTTTTAACTCAACAAATATGAAGTATTCTGCTATAATCCTCTTCTCTTTGAATCTTTTTAACTCAACAAATATGAAGTATTCTGCTATAATCCTTTTCTCGTTAAAAAGATTCAAATGACGAGTTAAACGACTGAAAGGAAAGGTTTTTATAACAAGGTACTTCAACTCTGATGAGCTAAAGGACTCCGAAGAGAAGGTGGTTATAACAAGGTACTTCAACTCTGATGAGCTAAAGGACTCCGAAGAAAACAGGGCTATAACAAAGTTCTTTTCTCTGACAGGTTAAATGACTACGAAGAAAAGGGGTTATAACATAGTATTTAATCTTTGATTACTTAAACAGATTCAAAGAGAAGAGGATTATAGCAGAATACTTCATATTTTTTGAGTTAAAAAGATTCAAAGAGAAGAGGATAATAGCAGAATACTTCATATTTGTTGAGAGATAAGGACTGTATTATTGTCTTCTTCCCCTTGAAGTCGTTTAACTCGTTAGAACTGAAGGACTGTATTATAGTCTTCTTCCCCTTGAAGTCGTTTAACTCGTCAGAGATAAGGACTGTATTATTGTCTTCTTCCCCTTGAAGTCGTTTAACTCGTTAGAACTGAAGG